CTTTTCTTGACCAGGATGCTTTGAGAGCCCTTGGAATGGAGCGCGAGCGGCGGCACCTGTATGTAGCCAAGCAGCAAGCCCAAAAGCGGATATTTGTACTCCAGACATTGATATTTTGGATGCTTTTAGGCACGGGGCTGTTTCGATTTCCTTTGACTTGAAGTTTCTTGGTAAGGAAGCGTGCCTTGCCCCTGGAAGTATGATAGCCGATGAGCCATTTGACTTTGATGCTCCTCGACTACCTTGGTTCTAGTAGGCATTTCTTGAGTGGCCATTGCATTTTGTCAGGCCCTCAGACAGGGATTGGGGGCCTGCCCAATTGCGATTCGTGGGAAGGACCGGTTGCGACATAGGCTTTGCTACAGTAGCAGGCTTGCGCAGAAAAAGGCATGTAAAGGTGCACACGGCGTGGGCAGGACGCCGGCGCTTGTGTGCCCGAAGCTGGTGACATTGTCCTTCTGGAGGCAGATGAGCGATATGTGGCCGGCAAGCTTTGGCAGGAGGCCGCATGCACTTCATATTTTTATCATGCCGACGCTGATGCACCAGAAGTCAATCTTGCAAAGCGCCTTAAATTCTCCGGCCGCACGGACAGTTGGCCATAGAATAATACGCACCCCAGCTCCATTCCCAGAATGTTTGTGTCAGTCAGCTCTATGTAATTGGCTAGTTGTCCGTGTCAGTGCATGTCATGCATCAAGGTGCTTTACGCTATTTGGCAACCTCTGTCAGATATGACTTCATGCCCCAAAAAAAACTTATATAAATCAAATAGGGGGTAAGCAAGACCTCGCCCGACGGACAAGTGCTTTGTTGCGTTGTATTGCTTTTGTTACACCTATTCCTCCCGCTTCCAGTTTTGAAGTTTTACATGTTTATTGCAAGTTGTTTTTTCTTGTTCTTCTAAGCCTGGGGGGCTAAGCCGCTATTAGGTACTAAACACGCTCCTGGTAACTGGACTCCAAGATAGCTCGTCCCCACCTGAGGGCTGGGGGAGATTTCTTGAAGAAAGGCTCGCACAATTGTGGTTCCTAGGGAAACTTTCTTGGTGTTGGGAATGGGGTCAATGAAGGAAGGATATCAGCGCAATGCGAACGCCTTACTGTAAACCGTCGGTGCTGGCAAAAAGATTGGACCTCCATTTGCTGTTGTCAATTTTTGAAGGTTGGGGGTGGGCATCTCGAAGAAGAAGCAGAAGAAGAAGAAGAAGAAGAGGAAGAAGAAGAAGAGGAAGAAGAAGAATGGAATCGCAGAAGAAAAGGGGTGAGGCTAGATAAGCCAGCGAAGTGGTCGCCCATGTGAATTTAAGGGGCTACTGTAGGAGCCAAGAAAAACACAGGGCGACCAGAAGGGGCAATTATTTTGGATTGAGCTCTTGAAGAGACCCTCTACCGCTTTTTGAAAAGCTGCAGAGAAAAAGACAATTACCACATACCTACTGTAATACCAAACTACATACTGTAAGTCCATCAGTATATGTGAAAGTCCGAGGCCTCCTTTCTTTGCAAGAGCCACTCAGCAGTTGCACCTGCACTGTTCGTTGCAGTTGTGAGCTGAGTTTGTATGGCGCTCCCGGCGCTCCCTGTTTGCCGGTAGGTTTTCTCCATTACGAAGCCAGTGCCAAATTCAAGCCCGATTCGTGTGGGTGGGGTCCATGATCAGCTCCGATTCTCGTCTTAATGTGGAAATTTCATGGTTGACATTGCTTCATCTCTTATGTTGACAACCTGGCGATAACACACACTTCCTGCCAGGCTGTATGCTGGTTTGCCTTGGCATGGCAATTTTGATTGTATTGGTGACTTTGGAAGTTGTTGACTTGGCAGCAGGCGCAGGTATTTTTGCACCATGTTTGCACAATCAGGTATACGTTTGTGCGTGCACCTTGTCAAGTGCTGGTGTCAAGCAGCAATTTCACCGTGTGCTCCGAGGTATTATTCCTGGTGCTGACCAATGCCTACAGCATGACCGCCGTCAGCTGTTTCAAAAGTTATAGAAGTTGGAAGCATTTTCTGACGTAGATGAAGATGGACAAGAGCTTTGCCTATGTCTGACTAGTAGCCGAGGTCTACAAAGCAATCAAAGGGCCAGTGCTTCTTACAATTGCGGGTGCCAGCGGTCTGTCTATGGCCCTGCAAGCCAGCGGGGTTGCCATGTGCCGAGGCAGCAGTCAGGGCAAAATGAATCGTTTTGCTGTTGGTTCTCACGGCCTTTAGTACCGCCTGCTACTTACTTGATCACTTCTCGGTAGGGAATAAGGGGTTCCGCTGGATCTAGCCACCCGTTGATTCCTCACGAGTTCCAGTCGCCCAACAGCTCTTGGAAATCACAATGGGTGCGGTACTGGCCACGAGGTTTGCAGCCAGACGGCTCACGCAGTATGCGCTGCCAGGTGGCAGTATATGTGTACGGGTGGCAGTATATGTGCTGAGTGCCTTTCTTTCGATGTTCATGAACAATTCGGCAACAGTTGCTGCTTGGCTGACAGCTTGAGTTGTTCTTCAAAATCAATTAATGTTTGTTGGCACTTGAACTGAAACTGTGCATTTCCTCTGTGCTCGGGAGGCTATTCTTGGGCCCATGCTTGCAACAATCTCGCGCAGTGCTTGTGATGATGACATTTTGTGCCAGCAGAGAAGCATGAAAGCCCTCACACAGGCACGTTCATCCTTGCCGATGTTCTTCATTCAGTTCAATGATTCAACAATTGCATTCTTCCGAAAGACCACATTCTTGTCGCTCCTCCCTCTCCAAGTCAGATTGCTCTTAGATGGATGGATTTGCTGGAAAGCCTCGCTGCCAAGAGAGTGTCATTCCAGCTCCTTTTGAAGTGACTGACTGCATGTGTCATAGCCTTTGCACTCCCGAACTATCCATAGCTTCCATACGGGGTCTGGTGGTTTGGTAGGCAAAAAATCGTGTGAGTGACACATTTAGTCTACATGCAGCGTAATATGGCGCGTCGCACTCAATCAAGTGCGTGCGGTAGGATTTTTCAATGTTACAGCTCCGCAACAGGCTTCGCACTTAACGCTTGGTATCAGTACTCAAGCACTGGGTCCCTGCAGTGTGTGGCAGAAGTTGTGATATGCGTCATGGCCCATGAGCCTGTTCCCATACTGTCTTGCCATCTTGGGCGTGACCTTTCCTGGCATTTTTCCCTTCAATTGCGCCTTTCAGTTTGCTGGCTCTATTCTTCGAAATGCTGCGTCTCAGACGTACCGCACTTTTGTAATCCTTCCATCATGCACCAGTTTGCATCCACAAAAGACACAACGCAAAACAATAGAAACAGACAAGTGAAAAAGACCGAACATGAACAAACAAACAACACTGCAAACACTGACCCCCTGGACATGCTGTATGTTGTTTATTATTTGTTATTTATGTATTGCTTTTTTAAAGCGCTTTTCAGTTCTAACTTTCTTGAGTTATGTTGTATTTTTTTTGGGTTCATTTCTTCAGTTTTCCTAATTCCACTGAACATAGGAACCAAGAGAAAAGAGACAGGACAAGAAGCACAAGAAAGTTACCCAGGACTTGTTTTTATGTTTTTGCTTCGTTTTTGTTTGTGTTCTTGAAGCTCTTTTGCAAGGAGGCTATATAGGTTGGACAAATGTTGGAGGGACAAAGAGGCTATATAGGTGAAAGTTGGAGGGACCCCGTTGGTTAGAGGTCCTTCCAACGGACTTTCCGGCACAAGTGTTTGTTCAGACAAGCATGGCAGGGAGCTGTGGACTTGTGCTACTTACAGACCGTTCCCTTCTTTCATGTTGCTTTCAGCAGGTGATGGTGTTTGCAGCCGGAACGTGCTTGACATCCCCATTGGGATATCAGACCAACTTGATGGCCCCCAAGCTGCATATGGTCAACTATTGGTGAAGCTTCGAGAAACATGCGCGAGACTTTAGAAACGACGCGGGACGTCGGCAGAAAGGTGAGATGAAGTGGTTACCAATAGCGATGCCCTTGTTACTCGGTAGTAGTGAATGTGGGAAGAAGGTGATGAAAGATGGTGGCTATACCTTTGGTGACTTCACGAAGTATGGCGGCTTAATTCAGGCCCACAGGATAGCAAGTCATGTTCGGCGGTGGAATGGGTTTACATTGCTTGGTGTTCTTTATGCAGTTTTTCCCCCTGTCCGGGTGCCGTGATGCTGCCGTAGCTGCAGGTGTTCCACTTGATTTGTTGCGTAGCGGTGGTGTCTTTGCTGGTGGATTCCTTGGACCTGTAGATTGGTGCGACCCTGGCAGTCTGGCAATGCAGCAGCATCATTTGAAGCAGAGGTTCCATTTGGCAGGTTGGCACCCAGAGATGGGCTCCTGACTGTTTGGACTCGATGGGCTTTGAATGCACAAATGCAGCCCTTTGCATTCTCCTGCTGCGAAAAGTCAGCAAAAATACTTGCTTGCTGCTTGCTTGCTTGATTTTGCTTGACGGTGGGACCACCGGCTTTGCGACTCTTGAGCTTCCGGCACTGAGTTTCAATAGAGAACAACTTAGTCACACTCTCTTTTCTTCTTGCTTTGATGTTCTTAGCCGCGAAACTCATTGGCACAATGCAAGCTCTTTTAGGATAGCCATCAGGCCGAATCACCGCACAGGCCGAGGAAACAACAAGTCATTCTGATCAGGCAGGGCATCGTGGACAAGCAGTAAGGCTAATGAAGCTGCGAAGCTGCCACATTTTGTTGAGTTGGATAAATCACAGAAGTCATGGAAGATGAACAATTCTATATACTGTAAGTAAATGAGATACTTTGTTTGGATGGGACGAAGTTGCTGCATGCAGCTCACGTGTCAGTGAGACCAGCAGCTCATGAGCGGAACAGGTAACGCAAAGTATAGAGCAAATCACAACTATGGTAGGGTGTGCAATGTGGGCACCTGTGACACGCAAGACAGACCATGTCATGAAATAGCTTTGCACAGATCTTGATTCTAACCTCCATTTTTGAGGGTTCTGACTTCTTAAGCAACGACTGTCCGCCTGCATCCCATGGCGCGGCATGTGGGCAGGGCTCGGGTTCTCTTGATTGGGGCAGCTCTCTTGGTCTTTGAGAGATTTTCATTTTGTCCATCCAACTTGGCGCCGTGGAACTTCTCTTGGACAACTCCAGGGCGCCGTCATGCCCTTGGTGCCATGAGCCTGAGCACTCTGACGGCGCCTGCCTGGGCTGAGGAAGCCGACGTTGTGACGGCGCCCACGACACCCACGGCGGATCCGTACCTCGACAGGGTGCAAAGCCCCACTGGCGACTTTAGCATTCAGCTCCCCGTGACATGGCAAAAGGAGTTTGACAACTATCCTGGCCGATTGATTTTGAGTGTCGACCCTGAAGAGTTTGCGAAGCTCCAGTCCAACCAACCAAACGAAATGGTGACGGTGCGTTGTGCGCGCTTGACGCTTCCAGCATTGTTGCGCAGCGCGCAGTACATGCCGCGTGCAGGGGACGAGCAGCGTAGTGATTGGAAGGAGGTTGCCCTTGAACCGGTCACGGGGGGAAACATCGCCGAATGGCTGATGCGTGCGGGCCAGCAAGCCCTTGCAAATCAGATAGGTGTGCAACTGCCACAGCTGGACATCAAAATTGTGGATTTCCAAATCACCGATGGGCCAAAACCAGATCAATCAATCCTGACGTGGCATGCAACTACTCAAGCGCAGCCCTCCAGTCTTCGGACTGGTCAAGAGTCCGAAGTGCAGGGGCTGGGAGGAAAGTCCTTGATGCCGCTCTCTGAGGTTTTGAGCGCGGGCGGCCCCGGGGAAGTGCCCACGGATGTGCCGCCTGTCGGCAGCTTTGGCCAGGCAATCCTGCGGAAAGGCACTGTGACCTTTGCCATCGCACAGACACCGGCCAATCGGATAGACCCCAACTACAAGGGGCCAACTGGAAAGAAATACTTGGACTACATTGTGCAATCTCTCAAGTTGACACCTTCATGATGATGCAGGTGGTACCAATTGGGACTGCTTCCAGTCAGGCGAATGACATGCGCAATGACGGGAAACTGAAGAGCTCCAGTTTTGGTAGTTTGTGGGTTGCCCCGTGCGGCGACAATTCCTTTGTCTTTGCAGATCCAAACTTTTCCAGCTCAAGGTCAGAGCTGCTCTGCGAGGAAAATTGCACAGACAGACAAGCGCAATGTGCTGCCTTTCGATTCTAGATGCCCCAACCAGCTTCCCACCACACACACACACATATATATATATATATATTATAATTGTGAAATGTGCAGTCACCGTCGAGCAGAGTTCGTATCGCCCCGCTTCTGGCACGAGTCCAAGGGAGGGCGGGGTTGTGGGACTTGAGACGCACGGAGGAAACAAGGACAGGGTCCGTTCACAGGGTTGGTTGTAGGTAGAGGCAACCTAGGAGTAGGTAGGATAGGAGGTCCATTACCTACAGGATTCGCATTGGCAGCGGAGCCTCCAAACAGGAGGCAGGTTTTCAGGTGTTGATAAATTTTGTTCTCACGTGTTTTCACGTAGGTTGCACCAGGGTGTGCATTCGGTGTCATGGCGCCGAAAGCAGCGGCGACCGATGATGGTGAGGGGCGAAGCTCGATTTCGACAAGTCAGCTCCCATGGGGCCAAATCCCCAGCTTCACTGCAGGGGAGACCGATCTGGAAGACTTCGCGAAGAAACTCATGTTTTTAGCTTCGATCTGGCCGGAGGAACATATCGGACATCTTGCGCCCAGAGTGGCGTTGCAGTGCGATTCTGTCGCACCCTCAAAAAGGTGTCAAAGATAGATCCGGCCAAGCTGAAGTCCAACGGTGGTTGCGAAGCAATCCTGGCAGCTTTGGGGATGCAGTGGGGTCGCTTCCTCAACGAGGATCGCTATGTGAAGTTTGAACGGGCTTTGTTTTTGACTACCCAGAAACCAGATGAGAGCAATGATCGTTTCATTGCAAGACATGAGGCGTGCTTTGAGGAGATCCTCCAGAAGGACAAGGGAGTGACGCTCGAAGAAATTCGAGCATACGTGATGATTCGGCACTCTCAACTCACCAGTGAAGAGAAGAAGAAGATCATCATTGACAACAAAGGAGTGCTCACCTATGAAGCAACCCGTGAAGCCATGAGGCTCCTAGGCTCACGGTTCTTCCAGGATCTACAGGGAGGGTCAAATCGGAAGTTGAAGACCTACGATGTCCACACCGTTGACGAGACGGAACCAGTCATGATGACCACCGAGGAGACCTTCGATGAGGAGCATGCCTACCAGACCCTCCTGGAACAGGGAGATGAAGACGCCATCTTCATTCAAGAGTTTGAAGAACAGATCATCGAGGCAGTCCAAGAATCCGGAGATTTGTCACAGTGCTTCCTGAGCTATCAAGAAGCACGATCTCGCTTGAAGGAGCGAGCTCGTCATCGGGGCTTTTGGCCCCCTCGCTCGACAGGCAAAGGCAAAGGCTTTGGTGGAGGCGGAGGAAAGAAAGGAGGAAAGATGTCTTGGTCAGCTCCACCCCGCAAGACACTGGCAGAGAGAATTGCCAATTCGACTTGCAGGATTTGCGGCAAGGCAGGGCATTGGAAACGGGAATGCCCTCAGAGAGCTGATCGAACAGACCGCCAGACAGAGATGGCCACCATGGCGGAGGACTTCACAGAGATGACTCCAGAAGAACTTCCCGAAGACCTGCCGGATGAGATCCAGGAGAGTCCAAACCTACCTGAAAAATATTTGAAACCCTGTCAGGAGTTTTCCATGAACCCCCAGAAAGAGTTTTTTGACAGATTCAGTGATGGAGTTTTTGAAGGTTGGTAGTTGTGAGGTTGGTGAATGTTTTGTGTCATTGGAACTCTCGGGGTTTAAGAATGCGTTGTCCCGTGCTTTGAACCACCGTGCTAGGCCTCACAATGATTTGAAGCGTGACGAGCCAGCCGGGACGCATGCCTGTCGAGGCTTGAGCCATACTTTTCCAGTGAAACAGGCTTCATGCCCACCAGACATCTGGAAGAGGATTTTGATGAAGCCATTTTGGACACAGGAGCCAGCCGCACGATTATTGGAAGTGATCGTGTTCCTCATTTGTTGAAGGCACTCAGAGGTGTTGAGGTGAGAAGAGGACCTCGAAATGTGTTTTCCGATTTGGAAATGGCGGACTGCTCCATAGTGAAGAAGCCTTGTTCCTCAAGAGACATGGAAAAGGATGGCTCCGCGTTGAGATCGTGCCCGGAAGCGCACCATTTTTACTATCGAATGCAGTTGTAGAGGGATTGCGGGGGATTGTTGATGTTCATGGTGGTGTGTTGAGTTTCCATGGAAGTAGGGATGTAGTGAGGCTACGACAGGTTCGAAAGAAGTTGTGTTGTTTGAAGATCATGGAATTGTTGAAGGTGAGGTTCGAAGAAGGTATGAGTGAAACATGTGTCAACGTCCATGCACACAGAGAAACGAGCGCCAACCAAAACACAGCCAGGAGCCACCCCTCCCAGATGGACATGCGTGCAGAATTTGAACACCGCCCGTGAGGGATGAAGTGTTGAGGGAAGGAGTAGGTCCTCGTGACTATGTGGTTTTGGATGATATTCCCGAAGAAGGTCCCGAAGAAGGAGTCCTGAGTTCTGCACCGTCCATGGCTGAAGAACCTCAACCGGAACGTGAGATTTCTCCCCCAAATTCCAGTGAGGCAAGTGGAGATTTGGGAAGTTACACACCCACTGAAAACGACATGGAGGTAGATGGGGTAGAAGTCCCAATTCCGGATGAGAATGATGATGATGAACTGTGCGTTTTTGGGGATGATGTCTTAGCCACTTTTGATCCTCCCATGTATGAGATTTCCTTTAGGGATGGCCCAGTTTTTCAAGGGGACAGATGTGAGGAGATCCACATTGTTTGGGACACCTTTGGAGTGACGAATGCAAAGAAGGAGAGAGTTGAACTCAGATGGGAAGATCTAAGTGAAAAAGACAAAGTCCTTTTTCGTGCGGCTAAAGACAAGGAGATCCAAGCCTGGCTTCAGCATGATACAGTGAAGCGAGTCGCCCAAGGGACACTCCGTCCCGAAGAAATCATGAGGTGCCGATGGATCCTGGTCTGGAAGCCTCCAGACCAACCAGGAGGTGAGAAACGAGCGAAAGCTCGCCTCGTGGTGTTAGGTTTCACTGACCCAGGTATTTCCCACATCCCTAATGATGCGCCCACTTTGTCCAAAGATGGTAGGATGTTGATTGTTCAGGGAGTATCTAGCAAGGGATGGGACCTAGTGAGTTTCGATGTCTCAACGGCATTTTTGAAGGGTCAGGGAGACGGAAGACAACTTGGGATCCACGCGCCGGCAGAACTTGCTTCGGCTTTAAAAATGACCAGGACAGACCAGTGCCAACTCAAAGGGGGGGCTTATGGCAGAATAGATGGACCTTACCTGTGGTACAAATCTTTTCGAAAGGTGTTGGAAGACCATGGTTTTGTTTGTTCCCCTTTTGATAGCTGTGTGTTTTCTTTAGTGACTCAAGGAGAAGATGATAAGCCGAGGGTTCGTGGTCTGTTGGGTATACACGTTGATGATGGTTTGGGTGGTGGTGACAGTTACTTCCACGAGGTCCTGGAGAAAATCCAAAAGGTGTACAGCTTTGGGGCCTTCCATAAGAAGAATTTTGTCTTTTGTGGAGCGCGGTACTTTCAATGGGATGATGGATCGATCGAATTGGATCAGAGGGAGTACATCGAGAGAATCAATCCCATCCAGATTCCCAAACACCGCCGAAATGAACCACTCTCCGTGGTGACTGAAGGGGAACGTCAGGAAATTCGACAACTGTGCGGATCGTTGCAGTATGCTGCTGTCAACACTAGACCTGATTTAGCTGCTAAGGTAGGGGAAATACAGTCTAAGGTCACGAAGGCGACTGTAGGGGAGATGTTAGCTCTAAACAGGATTCTTCATGAGGCAAAGTCTCATGCTGCGTGTTTGCACATACTGCCAATCCCAACCAGTGAAGTGACATTTTGTGCTTTCAGTGACGCTTCTTTTGCAACCAACAAGGATGCTGCATCCCGACAAGGAACGATAGTTTTCGCAACAGACAGGAGCTTGGAAAACAATCAAGTGGGGATTGTGTGTCCAATTGCTTGGAGCTCCAAGCGTATTCCTCGAGTGGTCAGATCCACGTTGTCCGCAGAGGCTGTCGCGCTCAGTTCTTCCCTGGATAGGCTTTCTTGGATTCGTCTCTTCTGGGAATGGATGAAACATCCCGGAAGCAATGTGATGGAGCCTGCAGAGATGTTGTGTCAGGCACCGAAAGCCTCCATGGTCACCGATTGCAAATCGGTCCTTGATGTTGCCACTAAAACTTCCACCCCGACTTGTGAAGAGTATAGGACATGCCTAGAGTGCATCCTGATTAGGGAAAGACTCAAGGAGAACTGTAGACTAAGGTGGGTAAGTTCTCAGGCACAATTGGCAGACTCATTGACAAAGCCATGGAGAGCACTTTGCTTCGACAGTGCTTAGCACAAGGCAAATATAGCGTATTCGACGAAGAGGCTGCACTTAAGGAGAGAGCAGATAGGAGGGACAGACTCTCTTGGATAAATGGAAGTAGAAAAACTCAGGAAGACAAAGGCACTTAGAAAATAAGTGGAATGTGAAATGTGCAGTCACCGTCGAGCAGAGTTCGTATCGCCCCGCTTCTGGCACGAGTCCAAGGGAGGGCGGGGTTGTGGGACTTGAGACGCACGGAGGAAACAAGGACAGGGTCCGTTCACAGGGTTGGTTGTAGGTAGAGGCAACCTAGGAGTAGGTAGGATAGGAGGTCCATTACCTACAGGATTCGCAATAATATAGGTTGCACATGTTTGCACTTGCTCCCACATTATTATCATTTGCTGGTGCAGCAGAGATGGAAGATTGGCCTTTGGTGTGAGTCTAGGTAGCTTTGGCACTGGGACAGTAAATTCGTTCCTGTTGAAGAAGCGAAGCAAGTTGGCAAGTAATCCACTATGCGGACCTCAACCACTTTTTGCCTTCCATTCTGCTAGCTGCTAGATGAAGTCGTTTCTCGCTGGACTCTGGACTTCTATAACCATACTTCCCACTAGCAGCATGAATACCCTTTTCAAGAAAGCAAGGCCTTAGTGACCACATGGCACAAATGGCATCAGTATCGCCTGGCTGACGCGTTGGCTCCACCTTCGCAGGCCGTTGTATCCATCAACACGTAGTTGCAACGACCTCAGTCGCAGCCTGTTGCAACTTGCAGAGCCGAGAATGTGGCAAATGTTGCCGTGTTTAGCCGCTTTGAAGGGTGAACCATAAGCTGCACGGTACACAAGTGCACGTAGGTGCCACGCGTAGGCACCATTTGAAGCTGGGAAAGCTCGCCCCCTAGTTTCCTTTTTTTGTGGCATGTAGGTCCCAAACACCAGGGGCCCAACAATTCCATTCAAATGTGCCATTATGTACCTTCCAATTTTAGAAAAGGACCTTGAGGTGGGACATGACATGCATACCCACAAGTCGCTACCAGCCTGTCAAGGTGCAGCGATCCACAGTCATCTAAGGAACGAATTGGTTTGGTTGAGGCCTGGCGTGCCTGCGTTGTGTCCCAAGACTCGGTGGCCATTCAGATCCAAAGTCATCCAATTAAATGACATCGAAGACAGGGTAGCAGGAACTGAGCTCCATCCACTTGGGCACGTGGTGCATTTGGGACAAGAGGGTGCCCAGGACCTTAGAAGAGACGAACAATGAAGGCAAGGCCGGCTGTAATGTGCGATTATGCCTTTTTTAGCCCTCTCCGTGGAATTGGATGTTAATGTTTGAGATCAACCGGGCTTGCTGGGATGTCGAGCTTGATATGCTGCATGCTGACCAGAGGCAGAAACAACAGCCCAAGTTATCGCACAAGTGAGCCGCGCTCTTACTAGCAGCAGGGGCATCGCTACTAGTAACAAGTGCATCGCTACCAGTAGCTAGAAGCTACTGGCAACACGTACTGCAAAGGACATTTCTTAACCTGCTGAATTCAACTTGGCAGCTTCGATCTCAACCTCAAAAAATCAGGTGGAATGCAAGAACTAGAATTACGTGTTATAGTGATGCTCTTGTTACTAGTAGCGATGCCCCTGCTACTAGTAGCTTCTAGCCACAGTTACTTCACCTGGTGAACTGTTCAAGCTTTAAGTTTTTGCAAGTCTGTGAGGAGCTGGAGCAACCGTGGCAACTGGACTGTGCAAGTGATCCAGAGATATGGGCGTTGAGGAAAGATCGTGCTTTGTGTTGTGTGTTTTTGCTTCTGGAAGAGGGATAGCATGATCGCGGTCAATGCATATACTGTAGCTACTTTTTGGTTCTGGGAAAGTAGCGCTATTATGTGTAGCCGAAAGTCATGTTTGGGCTCGGGAAAAAGCCGAAACCAGCCCGGGTGACTTTGCACATCTATGCGGCCTGGCTTCCACGTTTTCTTCCTTTCTGGCTTGATTCGCACGGCGCCACCCTTTGCACCTAAGGATTTGGGCAAGCAGTTTGCTGGCGTGAATATGGTGTGCAAAGCCATCGGCACTGGGGCATTCCATGCAGGACACCTGGCCGCGTACACAATGTGACCCCAAATGTGGTACGCCATGTGTGGAGTGCTGCCGTTGTTCGCAGATGGATTGTCGTTATATAGTAAGCGTGAGTGTGGTCCCAAACGCGTCAAACCTCATATTGAGGCGTGGAAGTTTATGACACTGAGTGGAGCTTTGGTGGCGGCTCGAACGGCAAGACCCACACGGGCATTTTTCATTGCCCGCCCAGAGGCTGGGGGGCCGAAAGGGGCCGAAAGGCGGAAGGGGCCGATTCACGGGAGCGGCGTGTCAGGCTGTGACGCACATTCCTATCGCGAACCGGTCGACATGGGCACCACGACCATGACGAAGCAGGATGTCAAACTGTTGGTAACTGAGTAGTGCAGTGAAGAAGTGCAAAGTGAAGGAACAAGATTTCCAGTTCGTGGTTCTGTTTGCTCAATGCCGCGTTTGGCTGAGGCTGATCGAGAAATTGAAACCGGAGTGGAAAGGAGATGATTACGACCTTTTGCGCAGAAATTGTTGTCATTTTTCTGCAGCTTGACGCGAATGAAGAATGAAACCATAGGTTTTGAATGCTGCCTTCTGCCCCACATAGCTTCATGCTCGCACATTCACAGCAAGTCCACAAGCTCAAACATATTTCAATTGTCGGTGGCGTTGCCTCACCTCCCAACATGTTTCTTCAAGTGTGTTTGGGTTCTTCTGTTTTGGGACATGAGAACGTACCCCGCCTAGTGGCCTAGTGGTTCCGGCACCCTTTGACTTGTTTTGCTGAGGATGCTTTGTGCATTTCTCTTGGAGTTGGGCCTCTTCCGGGCTGGGTGACGAGTTTGGCGGGTGTCGGTGCCATGTTAAGGACCAATTACTTTATGATCTTTATGATGGGTTTCTTTTGGTTGATGGCAGCTTTTCAGTGAAGGCCAGTTGCAGTGCATCCTTTTCAGGAGTCAGGTTAGGCTCGCCATTGCTGCCCCAGCAGCTGTCTCTCACTTAGTCTTTCTTGTGACATTTCATGCAGCCGACTTACGGTGACGTATGGCTGAATTTTCATCAACAAACCATTCGATGATGCTGACGCACAACAAACCACAGCCTGCAAAATCACAGGCAACAGGGGGATAGTGTATCCTGGGATCCTTATAAATATACTTGGATCCTAATTTACTGTGGGCAGTTGGATTTGGACTAGATGATGTCGGGGTCTTTGAGGGCAGGCAGGTTTCAAACAACGTTCAAAAAACTACAAACCTTCGTGGTTGACCATTTGCACACAAATCCATGCTTGTTTGCTGGGATCGATGGCCGACCTTTGATTGACATAGCCATATTCTTACTGTTTTTTCTTCTGATTATATCTATACTGTATATATATATATAGCTCTTATGGTGAGATGCTTTGTGATGCGACCAGGTCTGACATGCTGTGGACAGAAACCGAATACCCGGAATACAAGCTATCAAAGGATGCTTCAGCTCCCTTAATGGTAGGGGGCTGCAGCAGCTGCGCAACATTGCATCAGTTTGAACCGAAGACGTGCCTTCAAGCTTCTTGTGCCTTGCCCATCACCCGTCTTCCATTGGGTGCCAGGGATTTTCGATTACCTCTGCCCGAAAAAATATACACACTATACCGTATACCTGTTTACTGTTGTGACGGGCTAGTCAAAGTTTATCAAGCTTTTTACCATTCATGGGAAGAGCTTTTGCTCTCAGGTTGTGGACGGTGTCATGGCCGTGGCCAATATCTTCAATCAACAGCCACAGCCAGAGACCTTCGAAGCACCGGCGCCAGCCAAAGCAGGACAATGATTGGGAGGAAGGGGAGGAGAAAGACATACGCGGCGAACTTGGACACCCTTCACAGTTGTTGTGTCAGCTGACGAGGACATGAGGGATATGGTCAGGCGCATGGATCTCCAGTGAGCCCTGCATCGTCTGCCTCAAGGGCCTCCAGGGCTTCGCCAGAAGCTTTAAGGACACGGGCAGTTTTGCGAGAAGTGACGAACATGAGTTTCAGTTTACTCACCTAACCACCTGTCAGCTTGCTCGAGCAGAGAAGGCCGAATGCAGATAGCTTCGCACCTGGCGATCAAGTTGAAATATTCAGTCACTCACGTGCCTTCGTCAAAACATGGATCTAGAAGCTAAGTGATGATTATAAGATTTCGCAAGCATTGCTGACAACCTAGGTCAACAATGGTGCACTGGCTATGTCAAGCTCGTGGAAGAAAATTGGCAAGGAACATAGCTGAGCAAGTGTGGATGGGCGTTGCCTGCGACCGTTGTACCGCATCGATCATCACCTTAAGGTCTCCACCTTATTTGGAAGCTGTGTTTTGGGTCGCTGCCTCCGACATGGGCACTGGAGAAATGTCGACCAAAAAGGTGCAGAGCCGAGGCTTTGATGGGATTGTTCTTCCTATGTTGCAAACTGACAACTCAGGTGCCATTGGGGTCCAAGGAGATGCCGGGGGCGGAGTCGTGAGTGGGTTGCTCAACCTTCGACTTTCTTTTTTCCTCTTTGTGCCGGCATCCTGTACAGGACGTTCGCCGGCCGCTCCTTGGCAGCGAAAGTGCGGAAAAAGCGTTGCATCTTCAAAGCCAAAGTCATTTCAGGACCGTCTCTGATGCAAAAGATTCTGCGCCGGGATCTTCCTCATGGTCAGTTGGAGAATGGGTGGACGTGTGCCAGTGATCGCATCAAGAAAGGGAGTTCGCGTGACCAGTTGATACTGCCTCCTCAAGAAACTCGATGCTTTCACTTTCAATACAATGAAACAAATTGTGGCGAAGCTTATTGCATCGCACCGATGAGCTACCAAAAGCATGGTGGCTCATGTGACTCGTGTGCTGCAAAAAGTGTGCAAAAGCACTCTGAGGTTCAGCCGGTCCAATAATATGTGGTGCCCTGGCCGGATCACCCATATCCATCCAGACAAG